CCTGCTGAAGAGCTTGCCAAGCCCAAGCCCAAGGAGCTGCTTTCAAGAGGCACAGAGGAAACTGGTTACCAGAAGCTGTCTCAGCTCCTCTCCTCATGAAGGGCTAAGGAAGAGTGCGATGATGCCACTGATGAATGCCTGATCTTGGTTTGGGGGAGAGTTCTCAAGTTTGGGAAAATAACTGGAGCAGCTGAAGGACAGTGAGGTCATCTTCATCCTCCTGTCCAGAGAGCAAGGTCTGCTCCCCATCAGCTCTCACTACAAGAGAAGTGGTACATCGTTGGATAAATGACAAAGAGAGAAACCTAAGACCATGGCCTGCAGCCCCCCTCTAAATGCTCTTGAGGATGTAAGCTTCAATCAGCAGCTTGAATAGAAATGGCTTTTAGAAAGCAGCCAAGTTAAGCACCAGAGTAATCTGGAGGGGAACACGGGTGTGTATCTTTGGTATGTATGGAGGGCTGCTGTAAGAACTAGAGCTCTCACCCCTAAACCAACTCTCTGGGATAAGCACAGCATAACCCTGCATCTTGAGTCAGGTTGTGGCACAGCCAGCAAGACTGCTGCAGCATGGTCTGCTCAGTCCCTTCATCAATGAAGGGGCACCAGCAGCAGGACTGCAGCAGCTTCTTGCTGTCTGTACCCCAGCTGACAAGGGTTCTCCCTGCTCTGTTGTCACTCCCTTCTCTTGAGGCTCCTCAACAGGAAATCATAGAGATGGCTGGAGAGAAGAAGAAAACATCCCTGGGGAACAAAGAGTAACCACAGTACAGCAGAACAAAGAGTGACCACAGTACAGTGACTTTTTGATCAACCCCTTCCCCTGGCTTATGCCTTTCCTGGGCCACCCCTGCAGCTGTTCCACAAGGGAGAGAGGACAGACCACTGCGGTGACAGCAGCAAGCTGTGCGCCCAGCACCCCCTGAAGCAAAGGGCTGTCTGCCTTGCTTCTCTGCCTGATAGAGATGCTGGACTACTAGGCCACAATGTGGCCTTACCTCCACAGCCTATGGCACAGTCTGAGCACCAGGAGAGCCAGAGTCTCCACCAGGGAGAGAAGACAGCTCTCTAGACACCATCAGCATTTTGATCATACAAGCAGGCAAGTTCAGAAGCTGCTGGACATTGAGCAAACTCTTCTGCTGGTTTGGAGAAGGCCTGGAGGGGAAGGATTCAGCTCAGAAGTGACCTGCACAGATCTTCCCCCACCTCCCTGGAGGAGGAGAAGCAGGGCTGTTCCACCACCTTCTCCAGGCTGCCAGCACTTCCCTGCCCCTATTTCCACCCCAAAGTCTCCCAACCGTCACACGTCAGCCACCCCTTACCCCAAAGCTGCTCTTGCCCCCCACTGCTTCTGGAAATGCTGTTTTTAATATAACAGCCACCCACATGCATGCTCAGATGGACAGGCGGACAAAAGGGGACATACCCACAGGAAGAACTGCAGAGCCTTGGTGCTACGCAGGCTGTTGTTGAGGGGCATGAAGAAGGTGCTGTATGTGGCAAGGACCCCAGTCCAGCTCCGGCTGCAGCCCGTGACTGCCTGTCCTGCCTCGGTCCCTCCAGGCTTGCCACTAAGCATTGTGACTGGAGGAAGAGGAACTATCGCACAGAGCAGTGGGACATCACCAGCTCTGCTGGGTGAAGGGACAGATGGCATCTTGCTAAGGGCCGAGAAGTGGATACAGCCGGTGGCAAAGGCAGTTTCTGAGATAGGAGGAAGATAAAAGAGGTGGAACGGGCACAACAAGTGTTGGTTGGGGCTGTCTGGGATGGAAGGGGAGGGGACAGTGTCATATCCCGGGCTGCCTACAAATGAAAGAGCTCAGCCTCTCATAGACGTTCTCATCCCAGCTGCCCTGAGGCCATGTGGAAATTGGGCCGATCGAAGGCCTCAGTGGAAAAAAATGAGCCAGGCAGACACCAGCTGTCATGGTGCAAAGGGTCCGGGGGCCACAGCATTGCCTCCATACCTAAGCTCGGCTAATCAGGGGATGAACAGGTCCTAGTGTACCCGCATGGGATGCGGGACGGACCTCAGTGCCTGCCGTCTCCCCTTGGGTTTTAGGCAAATTACCCAATGACATCTGTGCGGGGCCTATCATCCTCCCAGCATCATGGGAACGGGAGAGTAAGAAATTACAGCACTACCCTGCACGTGAGTTCAGCCCTTGCTGGATTCAAACCTCTTCCAACTGTCTCTGGGTGCTCAGAAGTGGAATTAATACCAAAATGCTTCTTTAGAGCTGCCTTGGAGCTGGGAAAGGCTTCCTACCTGCAGGACAGGGACAGACACCCCTTCTCAGGGAGGAGAAACACATTAAAGACAGTGAGGCACTTGGATATAATGGGAAGGAGGGGGCAGACAGCCAGAACTCCTGCCTTCCAACTCTTCCACTACAGCTACACAACTTACGGAAACTGAGGCAAAGGCAATGGTTGCCCAAAGCTACAACACTTGTTGCAGTGCTAGGAAGAGAACTCAGATCTCTTTGAGGCAGACCCTGGCCACCAGGCTTTCCTCAGCAGTACCAGCTAGGACTTTGAACTCACGACAGTGATGCCACCTGTGCTGGGCTTCAGGTTGGAGTTGCATGCATGCACAAGAGGCCTGCCAAGAAAAGATGGAACCTTCCTCTGTCCAAAGCAGTGACACCCAGCCACCAAAGCTTTGAGGACCAGAGGGATCTCGTTTCTCCTCCCCAGACACACACCACCACCTCTCTGCAGAGACCCCCTGAGCCTGAGGGAGGGTCCCAGCATCTTGGAGTGCTACAAGCCCAGCAAACCTGTTCCCATATATGCATAAACCACCTCCTTCCCAGGCCAGGGAGGCCAGGTCGGGAATGAGAGCATGTTATGTCACTCAAGGCCAACACAAAGTTGTAACCAATGCTGTACAGAGACCGCCCATGTGGCCTGTCAGCTCCACTCAGACCAGGAATTGGGGTGACACCAGGGTGTGAGAAGTGGAAGTGCTGATGTGAGAGTCACAGCCTCTCAAATAACTCAAGAGACCACAAGACAAAGCAAGGAAGGCCAGAGCTTGCCTGGACTCAGCAATCACCCAGCCTGCAGGCAGGATCCTGGCTCACTTCCCAGGAAAACTCAGCTTGAGTCTGTGGGCAATGTACCCAGGCAACCTCTCCATCCCACTTGGGAGCGGTGCAGAGCCCTCGTTCATCATCCAAGCCTCTCCATTCAGGGAATGTGAGAAGGAAGTAGATCTCCCAGGCCTCCCCAGCCAAATGAAATTCAGAAAAATCAGCATTACTGGAAAAAAAATCTCTCAGGAGCCATGAAGATCAGCATCCTGAAGCCCTGACCAGCTAAGGACGACTGGCAGGGGACATGGCACAGAGGCCCCATCCAAGAGCCGTTCTCCATGTGTTACGGTCCGTGCTTTGGTGGAAGTAACAGATTTTAGGGTTATCCCTGACTGTTCAGAACACTCATACCGCTGTGCCACTTGCCTTGGCACCAGCAGCCAGGCTGCATCAAGCTGAACCAGTGCTGGTTCAGTGTTCACCAGCACTGAACACATGACTTCTGTTGAAGTGCTTGAAAGGCCCAGAGATCCATCGTAGAGATCACTGCAGGACTGAGGTTGCCTTCTACACAGTGAGGGTAAATGTTTGCCGTTCCCTGACCCAGTTCGTTTGCCCATGGAGAAGGCACCTGTGCAGTGAAACATCAACTTTCCATGGCTGACCTCACTCTCCAGCAGAGGGAGCACATAACTCCTCCCAATCCTGCACATTTCAGCACAGGAGGCACTTTGGAAATAACTGCAGGACTCGAAAATAAATACCAGGATCTCCCCAACACCCAAATACCCTAGCACTCACACTGCTAGGGTGGGCAGGATGGAGCCATGGCCCAAATAGAGCTAGTATCAGTAAAGAGGGACCTCTGCAATCCACCTTCCCTCAGTGCCCCTCTACAAGGCAGGCCCGTCACTGGCCACCCATGACAGAGCTGTCCTCTTACCACGCTGAAGTCCACACCATTGGTGATGGTGTGTCGCCGATGTTCTGCACGTCCTCTCTGATGCCTCCGAGCATCCCCAGCCCCTGCATGGCCGCCATCTCCCTGGGACTGCCCAGCAGGCTTAGCATCAGCACCTGTAACAGATGAAAGCATGAGGGCACCAGTCACTCGCAATGAAAGCCACCACGGTGGGGCTTCAGTTAGCCACTCTGCATATCCAAAGAAAGGAGGCTTCAGCTCCTCTGCAGCTGACAGCTGTGCCTGGCAAATTCAGAAAGAAACCCCAAGACTCACTCTCAGCTTGGCAACCCTTCTCCAGTCCAAAGGCAGCACCATCCAGAGATCATGGTGACCTTTCTGGAATTAATTTACTGGCACACTCAGGTGGTGGGATGTGAGAGGTAAGATCACAGGAAAGGATTTGCAGGGTCGATCATAGAGTAAATTTGGCAGGGAGCGGCTGAACAAAGCACCAGGTCCTTCCAGGAGCACCTGCTCAGATCCCTGTACGGGCAGGACGGACTTTAGCAACAACTTACGTGGTTTTGCCAGGCTGGCAACAGATCTTGGTCATCATCATCTGTAAAGAGCGAGCAGCTTCCGGCAATGCTGTTTCAGTCCCAGCACGGACAACTAAACTATTAATGATACTGCCTACCCTTTTCCTGTCCTCATGGGATCCCTGGTTCCTGCGCAAGCAGCACACGCTCTGCCAGGCATTCATCTCCTCTTGAGCGCAGCTCTAGTTCTGTGACGCGCTTAGCCATGCAGATGCCCACTCAGCCCATTTCTACAAGTAGCAGCAGCCTGTTAGCATTTGAGAAAGTCGAGGACCTGCTTCTTCTCCAAACACGTGGTGAGGGTCTGACAAGGAGTTTCCTCTGGAGGGGAAACCACTTCGCGTATCTCTGAAGATGGCCATGGAGATCAATCCAATTCATTTTGGAGCAGATATACCTTCCTTCCCCATCCGGATGCATGCTTGGTGCCGAAGGGGGTGACCATCTCCGAGAGCCCTGTACCTGCAGTCTAAGTCATACAGCAAATCTGGCTGTAAGGTTTCCAAAAATTTATTCAAATCCCCACATCCTATTCTGCAGTAGGCTGATTCACTAAAACATGTGGTGCTGGTCCAAATCCATCTATAAACTTTTTTTTTTTTTCTGGTGAGTTTTAGGCTGAATTAGACACCTCTTGTCCATGCTGTCCGCCAGCACACCAAAGCAGGTATTGCCTGAGCACCTACAGCTGCCAAAAAGTCAGAATAGACCCGCTGCTGCACGCCCTGGTTAATTCACCAGAAACACAGCCCTGCAGCCACATCCAAGCCAGATCCTATCTGTTCTTCTGGATGATCTGGCAGAGCAACCGTCCTGCTGCCAAGAAGCACGGCGCCACAGCACCTGAAAGTGTAGCCAGCACTTTCTTCAGACATGCCCAGGCAGTAAGTATGCCGCACTTCTCTTGCTCCAGTCCCCTGCTGAGTCACCAGCAGACTCCGCCTTGTCTTTGCCCCGTCTTGCTTAGGCTGCTCACTCTGGTCTTTGCACACAGCTTTCCTTGAGAGTTTCTTTCCTGGCCTGACTTTCCAACAAGAGCCACAAGATAACAGCAAGGGAGGTAGGCAAGCAAAGGCAGGCAGTGAGAAGAAAAAAAAAAAAAGTTCCTCCTAGGAACAGCTCCTTGCTTATCTCCCAGGCACCCTCACCCATCACCATATCCTTCTCCCACATGCTGAGCACTAGCCATCAGGCGGCCAGAGGAGCGTCCCACAAGTTTAACGTGTTCTCTGGTGCAGACGGACTCAAAGGACTGGTAGTGCCATTGCAGGATGTGAAGAGCTGGCAGTGCAATTCTGCCCAGCCTGGAATACCACCTCCCACTGCTGTGCAAGTCTCCTGAGCAGAACACACCAAACATGAAGGAAGAGGGATATGGGGCAGGTAGGAAACGAGCTGAGGCTGCAAGTATCACCCATGATGTTGGGGATGAGCCTAGCTCACAGGAGCAAGCTGAAAGGCCACAAGGTCAAGGAGGATTGCACTACACAGACTATCTGTGCTGCCAAGATTTGTACCAGTCCTGTAATGGGAACTGGAATAAGGGTCACTGGGAGCAGCAGGCAGTGTCCCAGCACTGGTGCAGCTACACAACAAGCACCTTGCTCAGCTTGTCCTTTTTCTCAGTGACACAAAGGGACAATTGCAGCACGGGAAAAGTCCTCCTGCCAGTTCATCAGGGCATCCCATTTCTCTTGCCAGCAAGGGCTTGAGCGTACACAGGTCCCTGGCACCTCAGTTGACAAGAGGTCTTTGATGTCGTTCATTTGTCTGTTTTACTCACTGTCTTTGCTTTCATACACCTGTATCTGCCTGGGAAAGCCTTACTGTCGTTCTGGCAGAAAGATGTTTGTGTGAACAGAGCCAGAGTGATGCTCTGCCGTCAGTGGAACACCTAACCCAGCAAGACCAGTGCCACTGCACACGTTCTCTTAGCAGACCTGTAGCACGTCCTGCTTGGGAAGCAGAAGAACAGTCCCAAAACTGGAGGTAGCTGTGATAAGCAGGATCCCAAAGCAAAGCCAGGAGCACCTCTAAGAAGAGCTGCACCGTGGAAATAACATGTTAAAAAGGCTTACACTGCTCTTACCTGGAAGTGCCAGCATTAAGGTGGCACAGCAAGAGCACAGACCTCAGATGTTGATCTGACCCGAGCCTCTGATTAGAGGGTGTCCCCTGGTCAAATAACTGAGCTCTGTGCACTTGAGCTAAAAATGTAGAGGCTAAGGGATCAGCTCTTCCTAGCAAAAGAACAGAACCAGCTCACTGGAGATAGAAGAGCTTCTGCCATGAAACACAGGCCTCTTCCTTCCCAGAGCCCCTCTGCTCCCCACAGGGCATAAGCCCAGCCTTACCGAGCAGAGCAAGTGCTTAGAACTTCTGAGCCAAGGACCAGACACCTGACAATTGTTTTATACAGCTACCTGTCCTTGGCAGAGGCTTAGGTAATGAAGGCTACCGACAAAATCATTCCCTTTCTTTTTGCCAGTGCCATCAGCTTGGTAGCTGCTAAAGCCAGGCCATCCCAGGAGTGAAAGCAAGTGCTGCATTGTGGAGGAAGCAGTGCCCGGGGTACTAGCCTGTCCCCACTGTACCATGGGCCCCCTGGGCCTCAGTTTCCCCACCTCTTTCATTCCTACTGCCCTACTTTGGGCAGTAGGAATGAAAGTGCTGTCACAGGGGAACACAAGGGTAAAGACACCTAACATGGAGGCACTTGGACACCACGGTGACAGGCCCTGTAAATACCAGCAGTAGGGAGCTGCCCCAGTGACTTCCGTAAAGGCTGCAATGTCAGACTCACCATCTAGTGTGTAGCAGACACTTAGCTCCCCAGACACTGTTGCTGACACATAAAGAAGGACTCATGGCCTACAGGTTGCTCTAACACTGCCTTTGTGACAATAACCTCTGAAAAGCTTGAAGCTGTCTCTAAGAAGGATCTCTTTCAGAAGCACTTCTGTCCTGTAAAGTCATTATTTTAATGGAGGTGAGTGGGAAAGCGGAGAATGTGCTTTGTTGCTGTGCTCCTGGGTCACTGCACTACCTGGGAGTGCCAAGAAGATCACCCAGCCTCAACTTCTGTCATCTTGCCATAATTCTCATCCAAAGCACCTCTGACACAAGCAAATCCACACTGGGCCAGAAAGCACAGCTAGGCCAGCATCCCATGAGCACCTCCTTCCCCCAAAAAACAGACAGGGAGAGTTTCCTCAAATTCTTAAAAGTTTACAGGCACCAATTAAACATCTCTCTGCTCTTGGTTAGAGTTCTTACAGAGGCTACATCATGCAACTGGAGGCTCAGAATAGCCTTGAGCCCAAATGTTATAATCTAATTGAGAGTAGACTTACTGGATTCAGTCAACTCCCATAGCCAGTTTTCATCACATAGCATGAGCTACAATTCTGCCCCGTGTAAAAATTGAGTCAAGTCTTGCCCGGTTAACGCCTGACTCCAGTTGGAGTGAACATCTACCAGTTGGATTATAAACCAGGAAAGCACTCTGTGGTGGAAGATATCACTGGACAGTTGTGCAGAAACTAGGACTAACAGAGATAAGATAACTCTGACTTATAGCTTTCACTAGGCAGCTGAAGTCCATTGGAAATTCAGGCCTGTTGCTAGAATACAGCCCTGATTTCTAGAAAGCTGGCAGCTTAGGCACTAAATTTGCCTGCAGACTCAGGTGATCATTATAATCTTGGACTGTAACAATCCTCCGCAATCAGCAAGTTATACTCTGTAGCAGTTGTCTATTTGGCCCTTTCTGGTGGAAAACTTTCAATTTAATGACGATTTATCAAGCAAAATTTTTTTCAGGTTTTTCAGGGTTTACATCCTCAACAATGGAACAAGCAGCCTGCATAATAATATTCCCCTAAATGAAGTTCCAGTTATTCGTCTGGAGGCAAAATGAAAAGCAGAGAATATTAATGATGCTTAAAATTTCTTCTCCACCCTACAGTAGCAGACACACAGTAGGAAAGGAAGGCAAATCGGGTCAGACAACAATATTTTACCAAGGCAAAGGAAGTCATCATGCTCAGAAGCGTTGCAATAACATACATCAAGATCTCACGTAGAGCTTTGGGTCACTAAACCTCAAAGCATTTCACAAAAAGTAGATAAAGAAAACGTTACCTGCCTCCAACAGGTAATATGGAAGTTCTGTGTTTCTTGTAACTTCTGCTTACCAGCAACACATCAAGACGTCAGTGAATGAGCCTTCCCCTTTTGCGAAATTTAGCTTGCACAATACACAAAGGCTGGTATATGTGCAGGTGGGTACTGAAAGGGGTGCTCTCTCTCTTCTGCCTTTGTCAGCCCCACGCTCTCACCAGTTCTGTCAAATTGAATGATCATGTGGCTACCAAGAAATACATGTATATACTTAGATATGTATATATAAATATATTTTCCATTCATTCAGCTCGTGGAATCAAGTCGCTCCGCGAATTCTCAGTCATTTAATCTAATACAAAGGAAGGAGAGGGAACTGCTGGGTCGGGGGGGTTAAGAACTGTACTTTCCGTATCAGTATGCGGATGCACCAGATGAGATGTAACACCAGACTGCAGCCACAGGACAAAGTTACACAGGACAGCATGAGCTGGTCTAGCAGCTCACAGCTACAGGAGCGGCAGAGGACATTAGCAGATCCAGTACAGGTGGATGCCCTAGGTCCTGAGGAAGGGACGTAGTTAGAAGCTGGAAAACTCTGTAGACAAAGCTATGTCAGAGACCTGTGGGGCACTCACTGGCCCAGCTGCCTGGACGGCATTTGGAGACAGTGAAATACACCTCCCTGATGTTGCTTTCCCATTTAAGCACTTGTAATAGCGTCAGTTACTCAAAACACAAAAGTTTGGGCAGATTTCCCTACTTTTTGTCAGAAATGTGCATGAAACCACTAAACAAACCTTTCTGACAAAGTATATCCACAGCACAGCACCTACACGAATGGTTCATGCCTGCAACTAACAAAAAAATAAAGCTGCTCAATTCTCAGGAGATCATTTCCCCATTCCCAAGACCCAGTGACCCTCAGAGATGATCAGCTCCATTATCCATTCCAGGAAGAAGGTCACCTACAGACTCTACGCCAGAGGACAACTACAGACATGTTAGTGTAAAGCCCTTAATTCTTCTTGTCACCACTATAAAAAGACAAGCACCCACATGAGGAGAAATGTAAAGGGAAGAGGAACCTGAGACAGACCAGGATTTGCAAACAACACGCTCTCTGTTCTGGTTTATCTAGGGCTTCAGTCAAAGCCCACAGAAGCTAAAAATAATAAATAATAATAAAAACAAAAACAAAAAAAAATCACTGACTTCCAGAGTTTTGCATCAGGCCCGTGGGAGCAATTTACAGTTGTTTTAAATCCAAAAGAAGGAACAGGTCTGTGCTGCCTGATAACCAGACCAAGCTATGGGTGTGGATCCTAACCTGCCCTGCCTGCTCCACTCTCTAGCAATGGCGCTGCTGATAATTTGCAACTCTAAAATCCCCAGTGAGAGACCTGTCCAAAGCCAGCCAGGTTCTCCTCTCAAAAGGGTATATTCTCATGGTCTGATATAGCCCAAACCCAAATGCTTCTAGTTTAGTAGGTGGAAAAAACTGACTCAGTCTTCAGGAAAGTCACTTCCTCAAGCAGTACAGCAAGCTGCCCAAAGAGCTTGTGTAGCATCCTTACTTGGAAGTTTGCAAGACACTAGTGGATAAGCAAACGCTGCTGTGAGCAGGAGGTTGGGCCACAGACCTCTGGTGGTCCCTTCCAGCCAGAAAGCTGCGACTCCACAAAAACAGGCAGCACTATGGGATGGGAAGGATCCCACAGGGACCAAGGGCCCGTTTCCCCCCAGCGTGGCCCACGGGGGATTGGGGGG